TATATAATAAAATTTTATTCATTTATTTTCGGGCCAAGCCACGAATAATTTACGCTTAGAATCAGACTTTTAAAAAGGAAGCGTTTAGTCTGGGGACGTTGTCACGGCTGAAAGACGCCTATTTCTCTGAGATACCGGATGGAGTAATCCAAAAAAAAAGGACAGTTTGCATGAAGCGGTCAAATAATTTACGTGTAAGATAACTCAACCCAGCTTGTGCGTGTTCACTTTGTTTTTGTTTTTTTCGTCTTTGGGCCCCAAATCATTTCTTTCTAATTTACTCATACGTTTATCATATAACTGTTTGTTGTGAAACTAATTTGTAACTCACTGTAAAATTAAATTTTAAATCCATGTTTTACGCAAAAAGTCTTAGTTGAATCTTATATCTGCATATTCGGAAAATACTTCTCTGGTTCTAAATATAAGACCCTTATACTAGTGTATATAAGGGTCTTATATTTAGGACAGAAGGAGTAGTACTTTGAATTTAATTGGAAATAAAAGTACAATAAGCATATAACTGCCTATTTCTTCTCTTTGATTGGGCCATATAAATATTATTCATAATTTAGAAATAGGGACACTTTTATAAATTTTATATTACATATAATCATATGTATTGTTATATTATTAAGCTTAACTATGCGATTTTTTTCTTAGTTAGTTTGCTTTAACAATGGAGAGGTTGTGCCAGGTAACCGTATAGTAACATTATTAATTCATCAATACTAAATCAGCTGTTTAAATAAATCAACACGATTCCATTACTCCTTGGGCTCCCATATTAAACACACAAATATAGAGCTTTTTGGTTTTTGTTTTGAAAATATTTTTTAAAACAGAAAAATGAAAAAACTTCTTTGATAATTTGTTTTTAGTTGATTGTTTTAAAAAAAAAAAAACAGTAACATGTTTTTAAAAACTAAAAGTACCAAAACAACTTTTACATATTTTCTATTTTTTTTCTGTTTTTATTTTTTTTTGAACAATTTTGAGAAACCTTCTTCTCTTCTCACCTATTATCTACTCCCTCTGTTCCTTATTATAAGAGACATTTGATTCTTATAGAATGTTCCTATATATAAGAGACACTTACAAGTTGTCTCTACTTTTTTGTGTTGATTTCCTATTTATCCATATTTATTGTCTCCAACTCACACTCTCTCTTCCTCCCACTTCTCTTTATTTTAATAATTTAATTGTTCTCTTTCATACTCTCTCTCCTTATTAACGAGGGCATTTGTGAAAAAAATATACTTTTACACATTGATTGTTCTTAACTAATTTTAACTATTTTTTTGATCAACGTAATTCGGTTATTCGTTCTTATAATAAGGAACGGAGGGAGTATTATTTATTGTTACCAGTAACAATTATTACCTACCAAGTGTGATTTTCTATTTTTTTTTTAAACGTGATTTTTTGAGACTATTATCCAAAAAATTCTTTTTTTTTTTCCAAAACTTGTTCTAAGAAATAATTTTATAATATTGTTTTGAGAACAGAAAAAACAAAGAAAAAAAAAAACAAACAGCCCCATAATTTTTCTATTGAAAAAAAAAATCATTTATGCCGACTCTGAGTTTGGAGCTTATGGGCAAAGATAAATGGACGGCGGTTTTCTAAGAGTTTGTCATTATCTTAATTTTTTATTTACAAATCAATAAACAATTCATAATTAATAAATTGTAAAAATGTATTAATTAAGAAGGTTAATACAATCTCTAATATCTCAGATTTGTTTTCATTTTGGTTTTAGTTCCTCGAATTTTAAATTTTAGGTTTTAATCCTGATAAAGTCCAATTTTTATATATTTTATCCCATATTAATTCAGAATTTAAATGATAATTTTGAGCTTAATTGGATTTTTATGCATAATTGATTAATTGATTGATTTTTGGATTTTGTATAAAAATTGAGATTTAGGATTAAAAATATAGATATTTTGTGATTTCCTATTTTTGACTTGGAATTAATTTTTCCTATTTCTTTGAAAACAAATCTCATATTTTTAGAAAAATTATTTTTAGAAAATTTTGCACTTTCTTGCCTAATTTTTGTGCAGATTTAATATTTAATTTTTGATTATATTTGGATATAATCTACATTAATGGATGCACTTAAATTCTTGTAGGTCAAGAAAGGGGCACATAGGGAATCCAATGGTGCAAGATTATTTTTTGGAATCTAAGCACAATCCAATGGCTAATATCAAGTGGATCAATTAATTACTAATGGGCTTGAGTTTTAGATCTACAAAAATTTTCTTTTCCCTTATTATATTATTTTTCTTATTTTTGAGGAGGGAAGCACGCCTAAATATCACACTTTTTCCATTCCCCATTGATTCACGTACGGACACCAATTCAACGTCAATTCTCTTCTTTCACCGTGTCATCAATTCACAGCCTCTCCTATCTTACTCCACGTATAAGAAGCCGTTAATCGTCACCACCCATTCAACTAATTCCCTTCCTTAGACGCACATTCACTTACACCACACTTCATCATTCACAAGTCATCATGACCGTGAGTTTCAGGGCGCTTGGAGGGAAGATGATTATGATGGCAGTTTAAGCTTGTTAGGGAGACAACTTGGGAGAAGCATGAAAAAGACTAGAGCCTTGAGTTAGCACTTGAAGATCATAAGGGAGTGATGTTCCATTTATCTTTTTAATTCAAGAACTTGAAATTATTTAGTTTTAAATAATTTTAAGTTGTACTTTGTTGAGACAATTTAGTTTAGATTGCCATTTTTATTTTTAGATTGGATTAATATTTGGATCTTATTTGTGTCGAGATACTTATTGGAATTTATGTTTAGAACCTTTGCATTGTCAATTGAATTTATAATTGAGTTTTCATTATGAGTTTAATTATCAATGTGGTTTCAATTGCAAAATTTGGGTTCTTTGGCCTCTTAATTGTTTAATTAAGTTGGTTAATTATCTAATTGTTTAATTAGATAATTTCAAACATAATTTCCAAAATTGAGTTATTTTTCATTGGTTTTAATAAACTTAATTAACCAACCTTATACTGTTACGAGTTCTCTAATAGTTTAATGGTTTTTGAAGTTGAGGGTTTCCTTTATTTCAAGTAGGTAATTAAGTTTATTAATTCCACTCTGTTATCGAGTCCCTTTGGTCTAGTTAACTGATTAAGGTTATGAAGGTTAAATCTATACAAATCCTAAGTTGTCCCCTCTATCTTACTTGAAGAGAACTTCTCCAATTTTACTTGTTAATTTTCTTTGCTTCCTGATTAATTTTCTTCATTTATCATTTTAATTTTGTTTTCTTAAAAAAAAGTCCCCCAAAAATTGCATTGCATTTATTTAGTTAATTTAATTTTCATATAGATTTTAGGACATTTACATTTTCCATTTAGAATTAGAATTTTACATTTTAGTTTAGATCCAATTTATTGTATTTTTTTTATCATCTGAACTTTTACCTAAAGAAATTATAACTTGCTCATTGGAAGTAATGACCTAGGTCAACCCTGAATTACAAATTAATTGGGACATAGTTTAATTGAGTGCTTTAACGACAAAAGCTACATCAAATCCCCAAAAAGGTAAAATAATCTAAGTTTTTATTGAATTATAGAGACTAGTGTTTTAAATAAAAAGAAACTTAAACAAACAAAACTTATGATTTGAAATTTAAAGAACTAAAACCAAAATGTGAGTAAATTTAAGAGATTAAAAATTATATTAACCAGCATGTAATGATAAAAATATGAATAAAGAAATGAAATAGATTTCTATTAAATATTTCATTTGCTCCATCCAATCTTTTTTATTAGACATTTTTATAGTATTTTCACAAGAATGAGAGAGAAACTGTAAGATCATTAACTTTATTTGACAATAAAAAATGTTTCCAACTTTGCTAAACGAATAAAATTGAAGAACTGTTAATTTTGAAGGCATCTTCTATTTCTTCTCGTGCTAGCACTTGGATTCAGAACTCAACACTGAGACTAAACATGGTAGTGAAAATTGTAATAAATATTTCTTCTGATGCTTTATTAATAATAAATATCAAGTATTTCTCTTGTCATAATTAAAAAAAATCAAGTATCTTTTCTACGAGTGCCTTGCGAAAAGCAGGGGAAGGAACAGTATAAAAGCGGAAAATTATCCAGATGAGCTTGAAAGCAGGGGAAGGAACAGTATAAAAGCAACAAGGACAGCGGCAAGGCTGGAGCATGAAAGCAGATGAGCTTTCTTTTTCAGTAAAAGTAAACATCCATTACGCAGTCAATAATGGTGACTCCTATGCTCTTTTTGGTACTAATTAATCAATAATTTGCCGTCTTGTCAGTTTTTGCGGCTTGTTGCTTCTCCCAAAGCAAACAAATTTGTGAAAAGTACACCATCAATTGTTTCGTTTGCATGAATTTCCCCGTCCTATTCATTGATCCTTTGCATTAAATAAGTAAAGGTTCTCTCCAACTCAATAAATAATTCACACTTGAAAGTTAGAGACTTTCCTCCCTCCCTTCATCATGCCTCTGTAAATTTTATATTTTACCCCTTCTGCCACTGGACCAATTTCGTGCTGATTACTGTGACACATCTTCCTATTATCTAATCTGCAAACATGAACTTCCGAAGACGTTTCCAGGTCTTACTATATATATTGTGGCGCTATAAGAAGTTTAAAACTATCTTTCGAGTGATTTCTAAGTAAATTACAGGTGGGTTGCTCATAATACTACCTGCTCCAGCTTTTAATATTCATTTCTCTTGGTTCAAGCGACACATGACATGATATACAGCACAGCAAAATTGGAAAAAAAGGTTTTGTCTTATTTACCTTCTTCTACTTTCGTTTTCTTTTTCTTTTTTACTTTCTGATTTCTCGGGGTTCAAAAAAATGTCTTGTCTTTGATCGTATGGGTTCCGAAGCAGAGCAATGTAATCAGGTTGGTTAATCTGACTCTTCTCAGTTGATCTGTCCATTTCTTTGTGTCGTTATTAGTTTTGGATGACCCCCTGTTCTTTAATCTTTCTTCCTCTGTTTGGTTGTAGGCTTCTCTCCGTCGCAGTCATCATCATTATCATCATACACAAACTGTTGGAAGAATATGCTGATTGAGCCTCCAAATTAACATAGGGTTGATGATCCTGATTCTGTTTCAACAGCCTCTCGCATTGCATGTAGCAAAAGCTTATTAGGAGGGTGTGGATTTCTTCGTTTCGACTTGTGCTTCAAAGGGAAGGGACAACCTCCGTTAAAGTACATTGAATCGTGAGTTCTCTTATTTTTTATAGCTTCAACTTTTCTTCTGGGTAACCAAAAACTGCAGCCATTTACCTGATTTGGTGGCGTTGATGTAAACATTTCATAGGGTGGGTGATGAGAATGTGAAACTGGTTTCACAGGCAAGTTGAGAAATTGAGATGATCCCAAGTCATGGTTGTGTAGAGAAGGGTTCTTCAGATGTCACCGGAAAGGTGGTGGTGGTGGCAGTCAAAGCGTCGAAAGAGATTTCAAGGACTGCTTTAGTCTGGGCTCTGACTCATGTTGTTCAACCCGGGGATTGCATTAAGCTTTTGGTCCTCATTCCGGCTCTCTCCTCAAGTAATTTTCCCCTCTTGAGTTCCCGTATCTTTCAATTTATCTCCAATTGCTGACCATGCCCTGAAGTTTTCTTTCCTATTTCTTTCGTTCTCGCAAAATCTTTCTTGTCATCTGGTATTATACTGTGTCTCTTCAGATGCTCAAACAGCATGCTTCTGAGTGAATGCTTCTCTTTATATGCTGAAACATCATTCTTTGGGATGCATTCTTCTTCTCTATTCATTTCTGCGGTCATGTTCGAATAACTTCATTCGGATATAAGTCATCCATGACCCGTGGTAGAATCTAAAGAAAAATAGCAACTGTCATAATGTCCCTTCCAATTCATTTTCGGAAACTAAATATTCGCTGTCGCTGTGCCATACAAGATTGAGCTTCACGAGGATGATAAAATGATCCAGTCTCCCGTTGTTGTTTTTTGTATTCCCTTTTTGTAATTCCCGGCCTTGTTATATTAGCTTCAGTCTTGTATATTTGGAGCGAAGGCTCGAATATATCATTCTATGAAAGGAATCCTAGCATCTGCTAATTATACAGGAAAAACATCTGGAGTGTACATAGGATATTGCATAAAAGATAGTTGCCCTTTCTAGGCCCAGATGCACATCCAAGTGGGAAAATTAGACTGCATACATGAAATTCTGTTAAGGGAAAAGTTGAAGATCAATTAGGATTGATTATAACATAATCTATGCCTTATCGATCAGGTAAAAGGATATGGGGCCTTTCGAGATTTACCACTGATTGTACAACCAGTCACTGGAGATCCCAAACTGCTTCAGATCAGAAGGAAATAGTTGCCAATTCATGTTCTGAATTGATGCTTCAACTCCATGAATTTTATGATCCAGAAAAGGTTGGGACATGATATTTTGATACTTTCCAAACATCCAGTCCTTTTTAATGTTTCTCACTTCTCAGTTGTTTGTGCAGATAAAGATCAGAATAAAGATTATTTCTGGTTCTTTATGTGGAGGGGTGGCTGCTGAAGCTAAGAGGGTTCAATCAAGCTGGGTTATATTGGACAAGTAAAAAAATATTTTATATGGACTTTGCATTTTATATGTCATATTAGAGACAACACTCTTGCTGAAAAATTTATTGTAGGGGAAATTTCGAAAAGGAAACTCTTCATAGAGATATTTTCCTATAGGCTACATGCATCAAATAACCGTTCAAGTGGTTATCTGGTCCTAAGTAAAATGGCGTTTGTAGGTAATTTTATCCTGGTTTGGACAATTACTTGGGGACTGAAAACATTTCTAATTTCTTCATTCTTCACAATTGCAGAAAAATGAAACATGAAAAGAAATACTGCATGGAGGAGCTGCGTTGCAATATTGTAGTCATGAAGGGATCTCGGGCAAAGGTTCTTCGTTTGAATTTGATCAGTTCACCGAAGGTGGAACTTGAAGGGGATTTTCCACTGTCATCAGAGCTGAATGAGTATCCAGGAAACTTAAATGGAAAGTCTGAGCATCTAGATATGATCCGAGGTCCTGCTGTTACTCCTGCAAGTAGTCCAGAACATGGGTCACCGTTAACCGCAACTGATATTGGAACATCATCAATCTCAAGCTCAGATCCTGGGACATCACCATTTTTCCTCTCCGATATGTATGGGAGACGAAGGAGAGAAACCTTTGTTCATGTCGAAGTTAAAAATCTGGAGGAAAGTGAGTCTGACTCTGAGAGTGAAAAGCTGAGTTCATCATCTAAAAGTTCATATTTTGAGCCATGGGTTGCAAATGTAATGAGAACCGGTGGAGAATTTTCAAAACACAGTGGCAGTATACATCAATCCAGTGATAAGGCTTTGGTGTCTGCCTATGGAACCTTGCTTCAGAAAGTCTCCAACTTGGATCAAGAACCTGGTATCGGATCGCTTCGTTGTAAAATTGACGTGAACTTGAGCAAAAGTGTTAGAGAAGCATTTTCACTGTCAAGGAATGCACCCCTTGGCCCTCCTCCATTGTGCTCCATTTGTCAGCACAAGGCACCATTATTTGGTAATCCTCCAAGGTGGTTTACATATGCTGAACTGCAACTTGCCACCGGGGGGTTTTCACAAGCAAATTTCTTAGCTGAAGGTGGGTTTGGTTCTGTGCACCGTGGTGTCCTACCAGATGGACAGGTTATTGCTGTGAAGCAATATAAATTGGCCAGTACTCAAGGTGATAAAGAATTTTGCTCAGAAGTCGATGTGTTAAGCTGTGCACAGCACCGTAATGTTGTGATGCTAATCGGATTCTGTGTGGAGGAAGGAAGAAGATTGCTAGTTTATGAGTATATCTGCAATGGGTCTTTAGATTCTCATCTTTATGGTAAGTTCCTATTAATCATTTATATGTTTTGACAGTTTATGCGTACTTCTGCTAAATGTTGTTGACCCTGCTAGCACTACAGTAGTTTGTGGGAATTTCTCTTTTTCTCCAAATTAATTTTCAAAATTTGTTTCCAGCTTCTAGTGTACTAGCCAGCCTTAACATTCCCTAGCTTAAGCTGCAGATATTGAGTGAACTTTGATTGACAGTTTGTCACCATGACCCCGATAAGAATATGTTTTAAATGGTTGTCTTCCTGGGGATTTGAATCAACCAGATAACTCGCATAGTCATGTAAACTATTGCGGCTGTCAGAGCTGCAAGACGGTTTCCTTAATTGAAAATCATTTTGAAATTTGCAGGGCGAAGCAAGAACGTATTGGGATGGTCCGCAAGGCAAAAGATTGCAGTTGGGGCTGCTCGTGGTTTGAGGTACCTTCATGAAGAATGTCGAGTGGGTTGTATCGTGCACAGAGATATGCGGCCCAACAATATCCTCCTAACTCATGATTTTGAAGCTCTAGTATGCCTTATATTTATTTTAAAATATGCAAACGTTTTTTCGTCATTGACCATAATATTTTTCCCTCCAGTTACCGACTTTGTATAAGTTCTTAGTTACAATGCCTTTGAAAATATTTGCACCCCTAGAAGCAATGCTGCCTTTTTATGTTTGTTTCATAATAGGAAGTGTTTCAAGTGTCTATCACTGATGGATTTTAGGTGGGAGATTTTGGACTTGCAAGATGGCAGCCAGATGGAAATACAGGTGTCGAAACAAGGGTGATTGGAACATTTGGGTAATACTAGGACAATGACAATTCCTTTTTGTCTATTGCTTCCCCTCCTGAATATCTTGACATATGTTGGAAAAATTAATTATCGAATGCTTGCACTTTCTTAGGTATTTGGCCCCAGAATATGCCCAAAGTGGTCAAGTCACTGAAAAGGCTGATGTGTATTCCTTTGGGGTAGTACTGCTGGAACTTGTCACAGGATGGAAAGCTATTGATATAAACCGGCCTAGAGGTCAGCAGTGCCTCACTGAATGGGTAAGAGTTTCATGACATAACGATTTTAAGGAGGCAATGTACTATGATTATGACAATGTTCATTGAATGTTCAAATATACCAAGAATTAATTTAGTAATGTGATTTTCATCACCTTGGTAAGAACAGGGTATTTGGATGCTATCTTTTTCCGGAAAAAAATGGGTTAAGCCAAAGAAAACATCTCTTCTTTATTGTTTATGGTTCAATTATTTGGATAGGCACGGCCATTGCTTGAAAGAGATGCCATCTATGAACTGGTTGATCCGAGGTTGATAAACTGCTATATAGATCAAGAGGTTCGTCGCATGATGTTGTGTTGCTCAATGTGTCTACGGCAGGATCCCCATTTTAGGCCTAGAATGTCTCAGGTGAGAAAATTTTCGTCAGTTTACTTCTTATATCTTATAAAATCATTATTACAAGGGTGTGAATGGGGGCGTGAAAGCAGTTCTGCACTCGAGCAACTCATCTTATAAAAACTATAAAATGCTCATGGATTATCGCTAAAACAAAAAAATGCTCACGGATTTTCTCATCAACATACCTGATCTGGAGCACTGTAGGAAAGAAAGACATAGCGACAAGCATCTTGGATGGTATTCCAGGAAGAAAGAATGGGAGCTTGGTTTTCAAAGGCTATGATGCTAACCACACCTTGGCTAATATACAGGGATACCCGCAGAAATCATTGATGCATTTGAAATGAATTCAACTTTCTTTTTGTTCTCAAATGAAGTGTTGGGGATAAATTGAAGTAGATATGCATTACTGAGTTATGTTATCTAGAAAATAGTTATATCTTAAGTAATCACCATGCAGAAGGTGAAGGTGATGTGTGGTTTATATGCTCTTCCACTATTGATAATCTTTGACATAGTTGTTAATTAGAAGTACCTGCAATCCATATGGTGACGAAAATTGGCGAAACAAATTAAGCTGGACTACCATTTGATTAGTAGGTATCATTAGAACATGCTTATGGAGAATTTGATTCGTTCTATGGTACCTATAATTTCTTCTTTGGAACATTGTTGCTTACTAGTTCATCTTACCCTCACTATTAATAAACATTCTCAAATGCGCAGGTGCTTCGCATGCTGGAAGATGACATTTCCATGTGACTGCTTCTCATATATCCATTTCGTGAGGGCAAGAGTGCTGAAGATAAAGAACAAACAGAAGAATGGACTGCCATAGCAAATGCAGAGGACAAGCTGAGGAGTACAACATGGGTTCGATGGTTCATTGGGAGAAGGTTTTACAGATATCTAAGCAACATAAATACGTAGTTGGGATTATTTCAGTTTTTTATTTATTAATGTGGCATTACGTTTTGCTCAAAATAGCTTAGAAAAGTACTGCTGAAATCATATATGATCTTTTCTAAATTTTGGGAAAGGATCATATATAGAACAACGAAACTAGAGCCTGTGTTAGTAATGTTCTTTTTTTCTTTTTTGTACAGAAAGAACTATACACTCGAATTTTTCATCCTCTGTTGGTCTTTTGTGACCAAAATTTAGTGAAAGAAATGAATTCTTATCTCCAAAAAAAAAAAAAAAATCCTAGAACGTTGTCTTAGGGTGTTAGTGGAAAAGGGACTCGGTAAACATCGACTGGCGACATAATCAACGCAAAATAGCACTTGCAGAGATATGCAAAGTATTGCATCCATAATTCCAAAAGGAAAAGAAAAAAGCCTAGACTTGTATAAAATGAAAAATAATGTAAAAATTAAATATTGTGATGCACAGTGCAACTTCTATTCTTTTGTTCCCACCTATATAGAGCTTTGGATTTGAAATATCAGACTTGAACAATATTTCTTGATATGCAGTGCCGGCCACGTAAATACATATCTATCTTCTTTTTTGTTTTTTTGTTTTTCTTTGTTTTGTACTTTTGTTAGAAAAAGGTATTATTATGGTAATTTTTCCTGTTTATTATGTTATTATTGTCACAGATTTTAACTCAATTGCAGGCGATCACTTTTCTTGCTTGTGGGTTTTGATGGTAATTCCTGGAGCCATAGAGCTTAGCCCCATATGTTTTTTTTTGCAGGAAAAAAATCTGATTTTCGGTCAATGTTTATCCCTTAGAATTTAGAGGTTTGTTCTTGTACCTTTTCCTTTTTTCCTCCCCGGCAAAGACGACCTTCTTGCACATTTGACCGTAAGTTTGTTTCGGTCCATTATACAAGAATCATTTAAGAAAATATTGTAGAGCAATTGCGTGTTCATTATTTTCATTATAATGGTTGCGAAGGCCACATTTTAAAACAGAAATGAATTTAATGCATAAAATTTCAAAATTCATAATATTTATTTATGATTGAAAATAGTATAATTGGTTATAAATTTATTATACATATTGATATATTGATGTTTATGATACATATGAATGTGGTCAGATGATATATTGTAAAAGAACGGGGAGAAGTAGAATAATGGGGACTAATTGAACAGAATGGGAACAAATACGTACAAACAATACTAGGGCTGTGGAGGCTGGTGGAATCTTAGAAAATAGTTCCTCGATTTTGCGTTTACTTGGACAGTCCATTGGGCGGAGAGTCTTCGCCCATGTCTTTCTTTTCATATTTACTACGTGTTTTGAATTTGATGATAATCTATTCTTTGTATATTGATTATTTCGTTCTGGGGATGATGCAGAAATTAATTAACAAAACTTTCTCAGACTAAACTCTCTGTCAATTTGCCGTGAGCAGTACGATGCTTGGGATTGACAAGACTCGGCAAAAGAATGGAGACACTTGGCTTGCTAATTTTCCACAGTTGTCCTCACTCTATCTTATATCATGACCTTGTATATTTCATCCTTTAATTTCTTCACATAATATATGTTCGGAATAGCCGGAGATATGAATCTTACTGTAGAATTAATAATTAATATCCATACATAATAATTACACACTTACACAGACCATGATTTGATGCGTTTCAAGGTGATCAATAATGTATTACATAGCATGAAATGCACAGGAAAGTGCTGTCGAATACACACAAAACCGTGTCTCCTCATCTGCATAATCATTATTATTTGCGTAGTTATTTTCCCGTCTTGCTTTTGACTTTAAAGAAAGAGATTCCTTGGGGACGATGCCTCCTTGCAAAATTAGAAAGCCACTCAGGCATTATAAAATCCCCATGATCGTTCCAATTTAACAAACACAATGTACATACATGCTAATTAATTATTAATTACCGACATCGTGATCCATGTATGGATCTTTCACTTCCACCAAGTGGTACCTTTGGGTTGAGATTTAAAAAATAAAATGAAGAATATATGTGCAGCTGCCAAGAGCTCAGTGGCTTGGAATCATGTTTTGGGAGAAAGGCAAGTGCTTGTACATTGGGCATTCAGTAAAAAAAATTAAGCATTAATTGTACTGGATTTTTGTGATGTAATCTATCTTTTCAGCTTAAGTGGCTTTAAGTTGCTATGATTATCCCTAATATAATAATACAGATTGATATGATCAAAACAGCATATGGGAGACTCATTACTATCTTATGTGTGTTAATGATTTAGATATACATATGCTTGGATTGATAGTGACCTGCGAACTAACCTAGCTCGTTCTTTACCTTTTTTTTCCACGTACCATGTTTGAAAGCCATCAGTGCCACTTCCAATCACTGATTATATCACCATCTTGCCCCACTAGTTATTATGACTTTTTATAGCTAGCTAGCTATATAGCCCAATTTTGGCAAGACCAAGTGCAGACACAATTAAGCACAATGAATTGTTTAACCGGCGGCTGATTCTATAGAAGTAGGTTATAAAATGTTTTACACACAATGATCTGTGCATATCTGTGAACTGATGAATGGATTAATTGTGTACTTTCTATATAATAGTTAGTAATATACTACCTCCGATCTTAATTATAAGATCTTGTTTGTAGTTTACAAATGAGGTTTTTTAAATAGGATCGAAGGTAGTATATACTATTCAGTACTCAGCAATAGGGGTATAGAAAATATATATCTATTCTATACTTACGAAAAATGATGAAATTAAAGTTTGATCAACATTATTCAAATACTTATATGGCTCAAGAGTTTTAATCTTTTGATTAGATGTGCAGCTACCAATTTTAATACCTATATTTGGACTATCAATTTTACCAGAAAATTACTATATGTATTTAGATCATAGAGCACTAATTAGAGAGATACATATAAAATATAATTGAGAGATTGTTATTATATTTGAAAATCCTACACTCCGAGTATTTTGTACTTGAGACCTTGTAGTAAGTTGGAAAATAAAAGGCTAGAAACCCCACCCCCCCCCCAAAAAGAAAGAAAAATAAAGAATAAAGAAGTTATGGAAGAAAAGGAAAAGGGGGCATCATGATCATACATAGGGTATCTCATCAATGGCTCCATCATCTCTTTTGAAAGAGATTCCTTTCTATGATAATGCCAAATGATCAAGTCTCGATAAATCTGACCCAATGGATGTGGTTTTCTGCCACAGAGATATATTAAAGACTAAATTAAACTATTATATCATCTCTTGAGGTTAAAAGTCTTGGCATAATATATAATTGGTCCAGAGCATAATATGATATATGATATATATATATATATATATATATATATAAGATACTCCGTCCCTTTTAAAATAATCATCATTTTAAGTTTTTGTGATTTTTCAAAATGTATTTATTTTTAATCAAGGATTATTTTTTCTTGTATTAATTTACTTGCATTAATAAAATACTTAGTTGAAGCATAAGAAATAAGGATGTATGTTTAATATTGGGGTATTATTGCCAAATACCTGTTAGATTTTGTACAACATAAACTATTCAATTATCTTTTTAATATATTTATGTGCAAAACTTTAATTAAAACCACAATTATTTTGAGATAACGGCAACTTAAATACATGCCTTTACCCCTAATCCCTCCATTATAGAATTAAAGTGTGTTCTAATTATATATGTCAAAGGATACCCTCGACAATACATCTATATAAAATGCTGTTGCACATGATTGGATATCTACGTTACCCTACCTTGGCCCTTGGATAGTTCTTTGTCGTTCTTCCTTTTTCCTTGATGTTTCTGAAAATTATATTAATTAATAATAGTTAGCTGCCTTTAATTAGCAAAAGTCTTGAAATTAAACTGGCAAAGACTAAGATGCAATTAAATTGAATTAAGACAAATTAAAGAAACGATAATACTGGGGCAACAATAAATGTGTATATAAGAGTCGCACATGAAGGTTTGAAAGATGATGGGGGGTTTTGGAGGATTTTCACTGGAAATGATAATGTGGAATGGAGAGAATCCGTACGTAGAAGACTTTGTTGGGTTCCAGAAAGTAAAAGTAATCGATGGAGTTCTGACTTTGAACAGCATCTTTTGGGCAATTAATACCAAATGACTCATCACAAAACGACAGCCTTTGCCATCAATACTGTGTTTGACATATTCAATTCCAAATCCAACTTGGCTGACACCCCTGAATTTGCCATTGTCTCGTCCTCATCACGCCTTCTTTGTTCTTTCATAGGCTTAGTAATTTCCATTCACAGTATCATATGTTGGTTCCACACAGCTTTCAATCCATTCTTTTTCGTCTCATATTTCTTCTTCCCCTACCCAATCAAGTCATACTTAGACCTACCCTCCTAAACATTGGAATGTATACAATACAATGCAGGGTGAATTCTGACTTTGTCTTTGTCTACATATATACTCCATTTAATCCTTATTATAAGTTTCAAATAACTAACTTACAGATAACAAACAATTAGTTAAAAAAATAAATAGGTTAGAAATATAGTTTTGTTTTTAAATATATTCTTATAATAAATCAGAAAAAGATAAAAGAGAATTTGTGAAAAAACGTGATAAGAGAGAAATAATTAAGGGCAATATTAGAAAAATATATATTAAATGTTAAGACAAGTTCAAATTGAAACTTATAAAATAGACTATACTTTTTTTAAAATTTAAAACTAATAAATATGATTAAAAGTAAAATGTTTTGTTGAATACATATATATGAAACTCAAAATACATATATATATATATATATGTATCTATACGAATCTGTGTGTGTATCCTTGTCTTAGGTTTATATTAGTGTATGTAACAAGACGTATTTTGCAGATCCTATGTATATAAATAAGCGTGTCTCCTAGAAACAAGATAAATTTTCTCCTTTTTTTCACTCTTTCAATTAATGCATATATGCCTGTTTTTTTTTTTTTTATACAACGGAAGAGATACATATATGATCTGTATGTGAAGGAAAGTAAAATAAAGTTGCTGTGAAGTAGGAAGCATATATAAATTACGAATTGTGTGTGTGTGTATATGTGGAAGGTTCTTCAGTTATATATAGAATTAAATATATGGTTTGGTGGAGAGATATAGTCCGTGTAATCCCAGAGGACACAAATACTCTAAATAAGATAAGGTATCGTACGTTTGAGATACA